TAGTTACAAACTGGTTTGCAGAAGAAACCAGGTACGTGTCAACACAGACGATCAGTTATCAGGAGACGCCAGGCAGGTGTCCGTTGACTTTTTTAGTTAGTTGTTCATTCAGGCAACTGTCATAAGGCACCAGGCAGGTGCCAGAATCATTGTATTTATATAACATAAAGGCAGTTAGGTCACTTGCTTTAAAGACACAAGGCAAAGTGTCATATTATCTGTATATATTGTATTAATCATACCCCAGTTAAACTCGGTAATCCGAGCACGGACCAACTGACCGCTCAGGTCCGACACGTTACAATATTATATAACTATTTTACAGTCATTGTCGTTCTTTTGTAATGTTTATTATATCTTTTCTTTGACGAATTATACATATTTCTATTTTATATATATTCCGAAATAAAAAATTATAGGAAACAAAACTGTGTGTTATTCTAAACAATTATTTCAAAAGTCACCTGATTATGAAATTTAATATAATGGTTTATTTCTATGACACAGATTTATTATAAATCTTATACAGTATAAGTTTATAAAATGTTAAAAAGTTTCAGATGCACTCATTTCATATCATACATTTTCTAGATTTTATTGTTCACATTAAAAATGTTACATTTTCATCAAAGTTTATGAACTTAACCTTTATCTAGTTTATCATTATTTTTGTTATTCCCCATTCTTTTCCTGTACTTTTTTTGTTCGTATTACCGAATTGTAATAAGGAAATTGTTACCCAACAAGGACATCAAATGTTTAAAATGCAAATATTTCTCGATAACGTTTACGTAAAATAACCATGTTATTTATCGCTGTTTGCTTTTGTATGTACTACTTTAACATTGGTATTTCATTATAACCATCATAGGAGACATTTTCATCATCAAGGTATCGTTGTTATTTATATCTATTCAATTATTCAAAAAGACATTTACCATTCTTTGAAATGATTTTTTTCTGTGCTGTTCAAGTAATATTTTCCTATAAATGTTGTAGTAATTACTTGATTGAAGATGAACATGATAAGATGAAAAAGAATATAATATAAAACAGTGACAAGTATCTTTATCGGTTTGACGCTACATTTAAAACTTGCTCAATCTGAAAGAAATTTTTAAAGGATTATTTGACTTATATTCTATACATCATAATGGAAATTTATATCAAATTATCAGACGTGAATTTAACAGGTACACAAGACATACTGGAATAACCTGGTTTGAAGCAGTTTATGCTAGTGTATAAGCCACCCGTGGTTTACAAAGTGTAAACAGCCTAACCCAGGTTATACAGTTTTTCATAGATAGCTATTAAATCCAGTCCTTAAATCTATGTATGAATCGGCATTTAACATGTACATAAACACTATGTGTATCGCTTGCCTTACAATGATAAATATGTTCTCTAAATGTGACTCCAGTAGATAATAATTCCTAGCTTGTTTTGTAAAGCAATATATGTAAAGATTTGGAAAATTTGATTACATTCTTTTATGTAACATTTTTAGAGAATATTACCCATTATATATAAAACATTTTTATCTATATGCTCTGACAAACTGCTGAATCACGCCGAAAATAGTTATACTTCACCGGAAATAGTTATATTGCCCTCCTGAACAAATGTATGTTCCACTGCGTGTCATCATTCTGCATTTTAAATACGTCGGGTTAGACGTTCACAGAGGCAGTTGCTAAGCACACGTAAACAGTGCCGCGAAAAATTAAAAAGTCTGTGATTTGTTTATATGAATTCAGAGGAATGAGATTATTTAATTGAGGAGAAAAATTCCTTAAATACAACAAAGGTTATCAACTCAAATGTAAGCAAACTGAAAACATTCTGCCTTGAAATCGGACGGACGGGATGTAACGGAATTATACTTAACGTACATGTGTACATAATGTTCATGCCATAAATATGTTCTATGATCGATTTGGGTTTGGCATCGAGCGATATAATACTCCAGGGCTTTCCTGTCACCTCGGGGCAAATATTTTGGTATGCTGCCCTATAAGCCATGTAATATATGTATAATATACAGAGACTAGATCAATGTTTTATAAAAGAGTTATATATTATATAAGATTTGGCAGTAGTCTTGTAATGAAATATATTGAGATAACGACAATATTTAAGTTCAAACGCCCATTAAAAAATACAAAACTGGAGTAGAATAGACATGGACCTCAAAAAGGCGTATCAGGTGTCATGGAAGAGTGAGTATCCTCTGCCGACCAGTCACACGTACCGAGTGTTCCTTATCATGATCTGGAAATTACGTTGACAATTCAGTAGGTAAATAATGGTTTAAAGATTAGTATGTAAAGCATCAGTCTGCATTTGTCTAACTGTTGAAGTGTATTTGATGACAAGGTCATTGCATCAACCATAGTTCATATGCACTGAAATATGCAGCCTTTAATTTTCTGTATAGGTGTTTGCTCTACTTCAAATTTGTATTGTTTTCCTTGACTTTTTCAGACCGATTACTATTTTACTGTTTCATCAGGATATTCTGTTATTTCTCCGAATGAGAATCCGGTTTCTTAAATGAAAAGAAAAAAGATCATCAAATCGACAATAGAACCTTGGAAATTTTAGTTTCTAAGTAATTTATTCATATGCATTTGACTACGCAGCCTTGAATCAAGTTTTCTAAAAATGTACAGAAACAAGAAATAAGATATTTTAACTTTGGTTTGAAAATAAGACAACGCATTATAGGATTAAACGTTCTTTTTTCAGAATTTATCGATGTGTAAACTCTGCCTTTTTACTCACAAACTGAATAAAAGTGCGAAGCACTATTATGTAAAGTTTGTGAGTAAAAAGGCAGAGTTTACACATCGATAAATTCTGAAAAAAGAACGTTTAATTCTTATAATTCCAATTACGAATTTTTTTTTAATTATTAAAATTACTTCCCTTGGAGGCCGCCATACAATCCGTTATTTTGTACGGCGTAGGATTACTCTATGCCGCAAAGAAACGTATACAAGATGAATATCGATAAAATCCAACTGAAATTGTCAAAACAATCAATAAATAAACTTATAAAAACTCATTGAATGTTGATTAAGTCAACAAATATCCTAAATACGCGTATTCTCTAGAATAATTCGTCCTTGACCATGGCCATGTTGACATTAGAGATCGACAACGTCATAGTGGAAGTTGCAGCCCGACAACGTCCTCGATTTCCTCTGGTTCGTTCAAAGATTTAGGGAGAATATGGGATCTGTAGGATGTAAACATATGAATTTGATGCTGAAAAGGCAAGAGTCTGATCGAGGTACGTTTCTTTTCCCTATCACAACGATACCAACTGAGCTAATATGGAACGTCGGGAAAATTACAGCATGATCAGCGATTATTTATAAAATTCACACTCGTGATCCGACAGTGACATAAACATAATATTCCCGTCTGTCAGTGCTGTTTATCTCCTTTTCATTCATTCATTCATTTTTTATTTCAAGTTTCTTGTAATCATAATTTAGCTAAAACGGACTAGAAGTATCTGTTTTCATTGTTTTTACGACAGTCAAGAAAGTAGTTCTGATTGAAGAATTCATCGATGTGTAAACTTTTTCTTGAATTTGTTCTCGTCCAATAAAAACACAGGGAATCAATAAATAAAATTAAGATTAGAATTATATAGAAATACTCCTTTTTATAAATGAAATCATTTATATAAATTTTGTATTAGTAACGTTTTGTTTTCTAAATTCGTACGTCGGCATAGTATTTTCACAATTCTTTTTCTGAATGTACTAAAACACCTCTTTTTTCTTAATATTAAAAAAATGAAACACCCTTAATTGCATTCAAGTTATATCGATACTCTGACAAGAGGGATAACTCTTTCTGACATAAATGACCGTCATACATTTATAAATCTGCCAAGTTGAAGTGTCGTTTTTGTCCAGTTTTGCCCCACAAATTATTCTATTATTGCTTGTGTTTTACTTATGAAATACATGTCTTTTGGAAAATCGACAAGGTTCAAACAACATTTTATGAGTGAGCAGAGGGTTTATGAACCTTTAAGCAAGTGTCACATTTCTGATAAAGAAAGTCTCTCTCGAAAATGTTCATACAATAGGAAAGATTTTTAAATAAACAGCGACAAACGATTTGTAAATATAAATGAAGAATATTTATAGATCATCTATCATCAGGAGATTATTAATCAACAGTGACGGATAAGGCATAACAAAAATAAAGACACGACTCTTATCTTACTTAACACATATGAATAAATATAGACAATGGTCAGAAATAAAAATAAATTTGAATGTTGAGTCAAAAAATGTGTAGTTCAATTTCTTTCTTTCATATTAAACATAAAGAGATACTTTATATAATTTGAAAAAAATATTTATCACAATAATAAAAAAAAATGAAATTTGAAAAAAAAATTACTTATCTGTTTACTACCTTAAATGCTTTATTTGTATAAAGCAGACATGGCTTAAATCGCATTTTTAGAATACATAATCTAAACAAAAATACAATATTAAAGTATCTTAACTGGATGTATATTCAGATCTGTCTCCGGGGTAAGTAAGACCGCAGCAGATAATTTTTTCATTCGAAATTGCAAAGAAATTCTAGAATAAAATATAGGGCCACATAGAGTCGGTTATATACAAGAATCCTATATTGTGAAGATTTAAATAAAGAGTCACAAGATTGAATGTTAAAATCATGCAAAAAATGCACGAGTTTATAAGCCAAAGACACCTATCAGTAAATACCCGGGACTACTAGAACACTATCTTTGTTATCGTAAGACTAGTAGATGTTCATGGAATTTTCAATTTAACAATGATGCCTATTATCAGCCAATGTGGGCCAAAAATAAATCTATTCTACAAAAATCTAGTTCCCTGAGATCCTTTTACATTTTACAAATTATATTGTAAAAGACGATAAATATATTACTCTACAATTATATGAATATATTTTCGATTGCAGATAAAACCCTAGCAATGGCTACAACTGCAAGTTCTGCTCAGCACTATATTGAGTGTGAAAACTGTGAGGAAAATCCGTCAAAGTTTTTGTGCAGAACTTGTTCTGGTCATCTGTGTGAAATATGCAAGACAGACCACGAGATGAGAAAACTCACCAGACATCACGAGATAACAGAACTGACTTTAGATAAAGAATATACAGCAGAACGTCTACATTGTTTTGTCCACATCACAAAAAAGCTAGAATGTTATTGCTCTCCCTGCCAACAGCCAATATGTACTCAATGTCTAATTGAAACACATAATGGTCATAAAGTAGAGAATCTGGAAGAAATGCACATGAAGATTAGGCGAGATCTTCAAATGGAGAAGGAGGAAATAGAAACAGTACTAATGCCAAAATATCAGGAATTGTTGTGGAAGGAAGAAGCCAAGACTTCTGATTCATCACATAGAACAGACCAAGTTCAGAAGCAAATTAAAGATCACACAGAAAAGATAATAACAAGAGTTATATTGCTCCAAGAAGAAAGGGTACGCAATTTACGAAAAGAGGAAGAAAAAGTGCTGAAATCAATTCAGGATTCAAAAGATGTCATAGAAAAAGGAATTCAGCAGCTAACAATAATGCAGACGCAAATAACAAGCAATTTGGAAGAAAGACAAGGGATTAAAGTTTTTATACCTGTCGATCGCACGACATTAAATGAACCTAGAAAATTTCAAAGTAATATTGCGTACAAAATTGAGGACTTTCAAGCTGGTGATATAAAAAGAATTGTAGACGAAAGAAGAATTGGAGATTTTCACATTTTTCTTCCTCACTATTAGAAGAATTACGAGGCAAGAAAGCAGGACGAGAATCTTATGTTTACGGTGACAACCATCCGAAGGAAGATTTATCTATTGATGCTAAAGATGATTATTGTGATTCAATGATATAGAAATTATGACAACAGCTTCTATTAGACATTTCTTTATCTACCTTTTATAATCTGGGAGTTCTAATTCAAAATTTTATTTTAACTGATTCAATAAGATGTGAAAAAATTTTAAAAATAGAAAACGAAAATTGGCTAAATGTGGATAGATCAATTCTTCAAAAGATCATGCATTCAAAAATATTGTGGTCTTTATCAGTAATAGTTTTTGGCTTAACAATAACTTAATTCCAATCAGAGATAAATTGTTGACCAAAATCTATATAATTTTTATAACTGCCATCTTGGGTACAATTTTTTAAAAAAAAAATCTGTATAAAGCCAGATAAATGTCCATATTGTAGAACTAATGTTTTCAAATTTTTTTATTCAATATTTCAATTTCAACAAAATATTTATTTTTGAACCCAAAATATTTCAAACATAAAAGATGTTCATTCATTTTCTTCTGAAAATAAATAAGGACTAAGGAACTGCAAGGGAGTTTATGAAGCTATCGTAGGAAAAAGGCATATCTCAAGAAGAAAGTTTAATTATCTACGTCTTAAATGAGTCCAACAGAGGTTTCTGTCTCTTTCTTTGGAACTTCCTAATCTTTTGTATAATTTAAACGCGACCACAAACTTGTCCTTGTATCTCATATCTTAGTGATTCAAAGGCGTTTTGGCGCACGAGGTTTCTTTTAATTGTTTTTTATACAATAGGAAAAGTAATAGGAAGCATTATTTTGATTATTTTGACTATTTCCATCAACGTTACTTCTATTGGTAGAAGATGTTATAATTGAAATATGATTTGAAATAATTTAAGAAGAGTTCATAAGCGTATCTTACATTACCCTTCCTGAAAATGAGAGATAGGGAGAGAGAAAGAGTGAAACATGGAGATAACGAAAAGTATTCAAGATCGAGGGTCCAAAATCAATACAAAATAGGAGCAGAGTAAAAAAGGTTCTCCTAAACATCAGAAGTTGGATCAGGTTCCATTTCAAATGTTTCTAAAAGAATTTTAAAAAATTGAATAAAATCCAAAATTATCTTTCGATAGTAATCTTTTATTTTTTTTTCATGCCCATAAGATTATTTAAAGCAAATTCTAACTTTATTCAAGTCAATTATTAGGTTTCATAGTAAATCTACGCAAGCAATACGCATGGATCACTGTTGGTGTGATTGGTACCCTAGGAACGTAGAGTTCTCAATTACAGCTAGCTTATCTAAAGCCTTTTTTCCCTTTTTCCACGATATTTTTTTTTTACATTTTGTGATGCATAACTTCACAATTCATATATACTTCCTGTAATAATTCTTTTAGAGAGAGAGAGAGAAACTGAATTGCATTAACAGATTCTTCCATTGCTCCAACGATTTGTTAAAATTGACCTTGTTATTGTATACGATTTTTCCTGTCTGGTGCATTTATGAGATTGATAATACTTATGTTATCTCAACTATTTACACTTAGTAAATCAGTATCCTGCTTTCGTTCATTCGAAGATAAGTTCCTTAGACAAAAAAAATAATTAAAGGGGAAAGATACAAAAACTTTTTGCGACTTGTTTCTTTCCATTTATAATTAACTTTAATCTCTCTTTTTGCGGCTAGCTTTCTTCACAATATGATAAACTTTAAATTCCATACACTTCATTAACTATCTGATGAATTAATTTTTCTAACTGAATATATGAAAATAACAACTTCTCTTGGAATGTACGAGGATAAGTTAACCTATACGAGGGGTTATCAAAAAGTTCGTGGACTGAGGCTATAAAATTAGTACTATGTTGTCTGTGCTTTCAAAATTTATACGGAACTTAAAACAACACAAAATAGAGTAATGTAGAAAAATTTAGCCTGATACGTTCATTTTTTTCCAAATTATTATAAAATGAAAACCACATTATATGATCACCCGGCGCTGTCGTCGTTTATTTTCATGACGTCCGATAACGTCATTGTTTTTTCAATGTCGTCTTCTTCTACCTCATACCTCATACACTTTTTTGATTAGATTCCCTAGAGCTGAGTAAGGACTTAAACCCGCTTTGTTTTTATAACTTTACAATGTCATTAACAGTACTAGTGGCATTCAATGAATATGATATAACAGATGGATTAATACATTGGGAGAGATCCGCGCTTGATTGTGCCGGCATATTTTGCTTTTGGGAGTTCAATATCTACAACACATGATCAACGTCATTTTTGACGGGATTGATTTTTCACACCTTGACTGCAAATCGAAATTAACGGTGTATCCCTTTACCCTCTGAATCTATTTTGACATTAAAAGACAAGTACTCTGAATGCATATTATTTTTCTGTTGCCAATTTCAACATAATTTAGGTCTATACTATTTTTTCAGGGACAAAACTTTATATTATGTTAGAAACGGAAATCCTTCCCCCTTTTGACGTCATTTTCAAGGCCTCATTTGTTTAGACATTCCGTGTAAAATTTACGATAAAATTTCATAGAATTTCCAGAATGAAGTGAAAATTTCATATTTTATAAAACAATTGTGTCCCGACACATACACATGTACCTGAATTAACAGGATTTTTGGATGTCAAACAATCATATCAAATGAGTTTTTCTCAGTTACACATAGGTCGAAAAAACGTCGTTTTCGAGGTTGCGCCGCTTGGACATACCATTGCTTACAAAAACGTTACTAATTTATTTAAAAAATAAAATTATTGATTTGTGGTTTATTCTTTGGATAGAAAAGATGATGCTTACTAGATATTTCAAAATTCATTGATGTACCTTGATCGGTTTTAATTTTATGGCGCTAGTCCACGAACTTTTTGATAACCCCTCGTAATTGTTTATTTTTATCAAATGTTCTTATGACACATTACCTCAAATATATATTTCATATCTATTCATGTATTTTATAAGTTGAAAAAAAAAAATAAAACACAATCATATCTTTTGTAATTGCAAATGACAAACATTAGTTATTACTAAAATATTTGGCTGTACGAGCACTTCCCGACAACGGAGAAGCTTTCCGAGATTTATATCCGTCATACTTTAGGGGGATGTACGGCCACTTTTAGTGCAGTGAGAGCAAAATGTAAACATTTCTTCAAATGGTTAAAATACCTTATATTTTGATCAAATTTTAAGTCTTTTTGATAAAGATACAATAAACATGCATAACCGAATGCATGTTGTGCATATATGATCTATACTTTTGCTTTTGATATGCTCCTTAGAACTGCGCAGCTACAGAATTCAGCAGAGCCTTAAAAAATCCAAAACAATATGCAAACTGTGCATTAATGTTCTCTCTACAACCATTTGTTGAGAAAATGTCTAAATTTTGCACTTTTAAATAATAATTTCAAGTTCAAAACAAGGTACCATTGTCTTCAAAAAAAGTGTAAAGAACCATGAAAGTAGTTCATGGATAGCAGCACGTGGTCTATTTTTAGCACAGAATCTTGTTTTCCATACCTGTTCTTAATATGGACGGGCATAACAATCTTTAAATGTAGAAGAGAATTACAGTTGCCAAATATTTCAAATAATATGAACACTTTTAAAAGAGGAAAGGTGTTACAGTGTGGCTTGAAGTAATTTATTTAGTATTATTATCGAATAGTTTACGTATTGATATAAAAAAAATTAAACTCTTTGATTCCAGGTAAGGAAAAATGAGCACCATCAAAGTTAAAAGTAAAGAGTTTGTAAGTTTGTCACAGATAAATTATATTATCTATTAAAATTGAACTATTTACAATAAAACACAAAGAAATTAGACACATAAAATTGACTGATACGAATGACCTTTTTTTAGTACCTACTAGTACGAAGCGTTATCAAAAATTTCGCGAAATATCTCTATATCTACAAACCACAGTTCAGATTAGATAGCCAAACACAAGTTCTATAAATAGCATATGCTGAAGTTTTGATCCTTGTTTGTGATGTCACAATCTGAAATTGACGTCATTATTCAGGTACTTTTGACGAAAAATGGTTGAAATTCAAAAGCAAATTGAAGTTCACTCAGAGTAGATAATAGGGAAAGTTGATATGCTATAAGAAGAGATTGTCAACCTGGCGATGTGGATCAAATTGAAAACGAAGGAAAGTTTGGTGATTCTCCGAAATATCTCTCAAAAGAAGATATAAAGGAGATGAAGAGAAAGAGACGAGATACGCCGGTTACGTGCTGTGAAGAGTACCATGAAATTGAAGACTTCCACAGATCTATAAAAAAAAGAGGAAAACGGCCAATTATGCGCTGTGAATAGTATGATGAAATTAGAGACTTTCACAGATCATTCTTAAAGGAAAGTAAAGATTAAGATTAATATTGCTAAGAATTCGTTGCTTAAATCATCCTATTGCCTATTAAAAAGTCTCCAAAGTTCCTATCATTTTTTTATATTCACGTTTCCATTGTCTTTCTTCGTGATAAAATTACAAATAGTAAATGTACTTTATTTCTCTATCAATGAAATGGTTCATCGATATGCGCAGTTAAAAACATGACATGTAGGGCGAGACAAATAGCTAGACAGAAACGGGATTCGTAGCACGTGGATTGGCGGAATCACGAGCATGTAATATAAATAATAAGGAATGACTTTATTTTTCGATTTCATGACGATGATTAATCAATTGGCTTGCGTGATAATTTTATGCATTAACACCTTCGATTAATCACATTATGAAATTCCTTAATTCATTAAATTTTATCTCCAAAGAGGGTGGAATCTGTAAAGCAAAGAATCAACTCATCGACCTAAAATAATTCTAACGATGCATTTCAGGTCCTTCAGTAACACTGATTTAATTAAAAAATTACCATAAAATACGACTCATGGAGATTTCAAAGTTTAGTTCAAGCGCTAAAAATGGTTTAGCCTCCCATGTAGTGAATTGCAAACGATGAAAATATACCATTGCAGTGTCAAATAATAGTAACAACTCTTTACGACATATCTGCATCGATACATGCAATGTGATTTTTTTCAAAGGCACAAAATAGAGAAAAATATAAATCTTTATCAATACCTAAGTATTTTCTTTTCCAGAATGTTTACATCATTGACATTTGTCTTTTTATTATTAAAAATAGAACTCGTATTCTGAAGTTGATATCATAAATATAATTGAGGTTTTAATAAGTATCTGTGGTATATTTGGAAAACAAGTCCTGTAACAATCTTTAAGAACTTCAATGCAAACTGATCCCCCAAGCCCCTCCATGTTATCAGCAGACCAATTTTGAAGCATTTTATTTTAAAAATGTATACATTCGAAAACAAAACCCTTATTGTGTCTCACTAATTCGCTGTCGATTAAAAGGCAAATTTACTATTATATAAATATTGCATGTAGTTGAGTGTATAACATTGAAAATGTTCACCCATAGAAAACCACTGTCAACTGAGGCGCGGCCCATGTAGGTGGACAATGGTTTTCGAGGAGTGAAAATGCAATATTTATTTTATTATACTGAATGTTTTATAATTTAATTTTGATTATATTCTCGCCTCTCATTGGTTGATTTCCAAAAAGGAACGCAAACAATTTTGTATAATCTGGTTTGGTATGGGGACACCCCCCCCCCCCCTCTTGAAGACCAGCTTAATAATCTTATCTGCGCTATTCCCTCATTTCCAGTCCTCTGCATCCATGGAAAATTCAAGATTTAATAACTGTATCTTTAACTTCAAACACTAACTCGATCTTACCTCATGTAAACACACATTATGGCTGCTAGATCTATGTTTCAATGATTATTTCCCCTTGCTTCACATCACTTCCGTTACTACGGTTGTAATATTGCGCGGTAAAATGGAACTCGTATAAAGCCACACAATTTTAAATCCAAAACTGTTTACTTATTCTAAAATTAAATTATAAGGAATGCCTCTAATTCTTGGCGGATTATAAAAAAGCGTAAACTAACCCATATACTCGATAATTTGAACAAGAATTAGAGCCATTCTTTAAATACAAATACTTATAACAGAGAACCGTGCGCAAATAAAATCTGCGCAGTCGCTATTTTTTGGAATATCACTTGTCGTCAAACACTGTGGACTGTTGCTACGCTGGCTTCATTATTCAACGGGTAATAGTGTTTATAAATCGTTTGCGACCAATCAAATTAAACTTATTTACATGAAAGTATAATATTGCCTTTTACTTGACGGTGTTTTAGCAAGAAACAATAGTTTTTCCCTTCATATCTCGATACGATATATCCAGCGATACATACCGAGCAAGGCTACCCCGACATATGTTTCAATTGTAATTATTAGCAAATCACTGGGTCCAGTTGTTAAACTTTAATTAAAATTAATGTCAGATTTGATAGGAATGAAATATGAAGATATGGTTTACAATATCAGATAAACAATATGAAGACTTAAGTTTTTCAGACACTAACATTATAGATCTATGTTAGAAAATAAAAATTACAATTACCATTTTCATCGCTTAAATTCAAATTTCATTGCCAAAGCTAGATTAAAAAGTATATTTACATATAAGTGACAGGACCATGTTAGTTAAATGAATGATTCTTAATGTTTAGCTTTAAAACATTGTATTTTTCTCCTGTCTTACGCAGGAATGATATTTTAATCGAATTTAACTTTAATATTCTTAAATGTGCCATGCATATTTTTTTTCTTTCAACGAGGACACTTGTCAGAATGTTACACATTTAAAGACATTGAAATCTTGATTTATACTATCACAGACCGTGATTAGAAACCAATAATTCACGTTGTATGTAGTTGTTTTTCTCCCAAATTGCCAGTTGACGATTAAATAAATAATCCTTCCTACATGTAACAAAAATGTAGATGGCCTGGGTAAAAATGCTCTTTTTTTTCTTAAGAGCAATATCGGTAAAAATTAAGATATCAGGAATGACTGATTTTTGTTAAACGTTGAGTAGGCAGTATTTCATTCAAACATTTTGATAAACGTATACAATATTAAGGTACTTGAACATATAGATAGGTAAAACAAAAATGATTAAATATTGCTAAATTTTAGATCCGCCATTTATTGATAAATAAGAGTTGGTTAGTTCCCAGAATGGGGAACTTAAGTTGTATCCACAAAAAAAAATCCATCTTGTTAAGTTTTTAAAGAATTATAATGTCTGAAATAAATACATATTTTATTATGAATAGATCTAAAAATGACTAAAAAAATACCTCCATTTTCTACTTTCGTTTTAAAATTTACTCATAACAATCAGGAAAGAACGTTAGCAACAGGGTGGACACCATTTTGTAAACAGGTAAATCAGAATGTATGCATGCCCTTGTCTCATTTTTATTTTACTCTGAAATCAATTACAGGTTATAATTGATGATACGGTTTGGGATGATAAATTATACTGTTTACGGACAATTTAATGCTGAAAGGAGTTCTAAGAGACAAACGCCATATTTTTTCCGATATCGGAGCTGGGATATTATTACCTTCATATTCCTTACATTTGATTGCTTATTTGTCCTTCTGTACTTTTAGTTATTAATCTGCTCTTTATAAACATTTTTACTTTATTGAATATGTTAATGTGTTTATTTTTCCTAAAATGCGTTGGCTTGTCAATGAGCGTGCAATCGATACGGTGTTTTGATACTCGATAATTTTGACGTGGCCGAATAAATACCTAAGACTTTTAATCTCTCCCATCAAATATGACAGATGAAATGAAGTAGACTTTTTTTACAGGTAAAATCTGTAATCAAAATATCTTAAGTTAAATGAAAAGAAAAGGGTAATAAAAAGTAAGTTTAAAATTAATGAAGGTGATATACATAAATTACTTTTCATCCCTTGTCCACAAGCCAGACTCTCCGTCAGCTTTCTGCATAAAAATCTATAGTCGAGTACAACAAGACTGTCTGGAAAGCGCGACTGTATGTCGTAAACATATTTTTAAAATGATATACAAAGATTTTATATAATGCACAATATCAGTTTGACTGATCATATCTGCAGAATGCAAAGTAGGATTTATATGCATTTTCAATGCACAAGAAACGCCGAAATGTATATTTCGACTCTTTTTTTTAAAGACAATTAATTTGTTAAAATATCGTAAATAATACAACATTCTTGCAATTTTAAAGAAATATGAAATGTTTTACACTCGAAATATTCATTTGCCTTTATTTTTCTTGTCAAAACAGCTCTAACATTAATCATGTCTATAAAAACAGCAATGTGTAATGAAAGGTGATGAATTCATAATACAAATAAACGAATCTTAGATAATTTATAACATTTTAATGAAATGTTTGTCCACCATTCCTATTGTCACTCCATCGAACCACCCATGCCAATATTTTAACAGACTTTAACCTAAGTGTCATTTAAATATGTTTAAACCCATTCTAGGTTCTTTTTAATAAATATTGGAATTTTTTTTATTTCTAACGCAACAAACATCAGGTGTAAGTGACGTCGCGTTGGTCAAAATTTACAGAGGCACGATTAATATTTTTTGCAAATTGCAGAATTCTAATTCGTAAAAAAGTCGGTATGTGTAAAGATTACCAATACTTTATTTATTTAATTCCCCTAAATACATAAAAGTGTATTTTACCTTACGTGTGTCCTGAAAAAGGTATTCAGCATATCCATTGGCCAATCGAGTTGATAGTCAATACAAAAACACTGAGTAAACACATGTTCAACCAACATATTTTTGTGGTAAATCCAACAAACGATAAATTCACAATGATGGAGGCACTTTTAATTGTTGTAATGCGTTTTACAGATGCGGTCTCTCTCTCTCTCTCTCTCTTACTTTATAAAATCTCCAATCTTTCAGTATGATTCATGTGGCTAAAAGATATATATAGAGAATGGGGTATTCGTAAGCATTATAACGAATATTTCTTTCTGGCTTCTAAGCAAAAAAATGTTTGTGTCGTTTAATAAATTTTACTATCTCAATGCCTTTCACTATAAAAAAAAAGCTGTAAGTGGCATATAAAATGAAATCATCTTTAAAAGTTAAATTGAATCAAATTCCTGTTAAAGAAGAAATCTCAATAAGCCATGATCCATGGTTATTTGTCGAATTTGAAACTTTAAAAAAAAAACTAAAAAGTAAATAAAAGTAAATATATTATTCTCTTATGTCTGTAGTACATGCGCCAGCGTCTAACAATTTCAAATAATTGCAAAAAAAACAAAAAACAAAAAAAAAAACACGTGAAGCTGTGTTTAGAAGGTGGGGTCGTTTGATTTTCATGAATGTCAAAAGACATTTGTGACATGTATCCAATTCACAGCTTTCGTAAACATCGAGCGTAGGTTTGTTCAAAGTCGTGATTAAAATATAATGTATATATTTAAAAAAAATGGTTCTCTATAGACTTCGATGAATATCACTAATGTTAAACTTTGACGATTTTCTGGGACATATTTAAATTCTCATGCACGTAATCGTAAGTTTTCTGTTCATTGCAAACAGCACACGAATTAATATATACCAGTAGATGTATATAAATACACATTTAATGATTTCTTGCGAAAAAGAAACAAAAAAGCAAAAAATACCAAAGACGTAATAATTTCTTCACATTTAATCACTCTAAACAAATGCACGCGTATACTGACCACTTCAATATATTCAAAGCAACTTTAAACTCTTGTCATCTTTTGGATGCATGCATTGTAGCAACGCACTTTGAAAAAAAAATACGCACTTTGAAATATTTTTTTCAAAGTACGTTGAAATTGGGACAAAATAAACGCACTTTGAAAATTTCTTTTCAAAGTCCGTTAAATTTGAGACACACTCAACGCACTTTGAAAAAAAAAACATTCAAAGTGCCTTAAGAGTGAACATCAACGATTTTTATCATGGGGAAATTTCACGCACTTTGAAAAACAAAAATTATAGACCGATATTTCAGTAATTGGGAGAATTTTATCTATAGTAATATCTTTCGAAAAACTTTTTTTTAATTTACATGTATTAATTTAACCTCATTGAGAACAAAAAGAAAACGAGTCGAAGGTCTTTCGGCCTAACTCGTTCTTATACACTGCCATGGGTAGCCAATTGAAGGTGGATAAATTTTAGTTTACATAAAATGCCTGCAAACTGGAAAAAAACAACAACAGTAAAACATTTAAGAGAGAAAGAAATTTCAAAATATAGAAAAATCAAAATCGCTCACTTTCACACCCTGAAGTGACCTTATCCCTGGAAAGTTATCCAACAGTTTCTATTATTTATCATACTTTAGATTTGTAAGAATATCGACCTGGTACACGTTTGTTTTCAAAGTGCGTTAATATGGACGATTTTAAAGCACTTTGAAAAGAATTTTATTTTTTTTCAAAGTGCGTTGATTTGGTCCCAAATTAAACGCACATTGATTTTTTTTTATCAAAGTGCGTAATCTTCAAAGTGCGTTGTAACAATGCATATAATTTAGAAACTAGATCGGGAAACAAACCTTGAATGTATTGATGCATCGAAGAAAATGATTCCTGACTTTGAATTTCCTTTACCAACCTTGTGATATTTATTATAAGAAAGAATCCTTCTGAAGTATTATTATTATGTTTCTATTATTCAACAACTTATACACATGTATATTAAATGTATTTGTACACGTCATGCATTAATCAATAATCGATAAGTAAATCGAAATATGTATTGCAGAATTTAGAGCGAAATTAAGAAATAGATATACATGTACATGTCAGGCAGGAAGTATCAGGGGGAGGACTGACGCCTTCTTTTCAGCGATAAATCTTGAGTTCTTCACAGCCCCCTAAAAAAACTTTTATACGCCTTTACGCTGTTACAAAACACATTAAAGTTGATGTTAAATTTTTAAAATACAAAATGAGCAATTTTTAGACTATTAATTCTACATGATCTTTTTTTTTCTTCAAATTTGGAAAAGGGTTTTTTCTAAATTTCTTTATCAAAATCATGTTTCTTGTTACTTTCAGCCCCCCTCCCTCCCCCATTACAAAAAAGGGAGTGTATTTCTGTATGAAATTGTCGTTAATTACTAATTTAACTTTCATATAAAAGAAAATTGATATAGTGGTTAAATTATCTTGACATTTTATTCAACAATGACAAATTAAAAATGAAAAACATGTGATTATAGGGGATTTTCAAAACTCCGACAAAAAATATACCAATATCCTTTATATAATACCTAATTTAAATGGTTCCGCCTATTTGTATGTAATAGAGGAACCGCACTGTGTTCGAAAAAATGTTCTGGAATTTATATGTTCAGTAGTTGTTGAAAATAGGCTTGTATTTGTTGATATTCAAAGCTATTAATAATGATTGTATAAAATGTTAATTAAAAATTCGTTGTTATATACAATAAAATTAATAATAATAATAATACCGTATCTTCATGTATATTCTGTAAAATAAGAGCAAAAAAAAGGGACCATGCTACTATACTAAAGTGGAAATATCCTTTCTTCTTATTCTTTTTTTTTTAATTTAATGTTTTGTGCCTAAACAATTATCCAAAAGTAGACAATTGCAAAATATTCTCAAATATTTGCTTTAATTTCTAATATTTGAATACTAGTACATGGCTTTCATACAGTATAAAATCTTAAAGAAATGTTTGCACGTGTATTAGATTCATTTCTAAGAAGTATTAATTATTATGTGTCTTTGTAGATCAAATGTCAAAATGGCAACAGCTAGGTCATTTGGTCAACATTTCCTTGAATGCGAAAACTGTGAGGAAAATCCCGCGCAATTCCTTTGTAAAACATGCCCTGGTCATCTTTGCGAGAAATGCAAAACAGAACATGAAGCGAGAAAAATTACAAAAACCCACGACATTATGCACATGCATATAAATAGGGAGGATAGAATGGGTCTTATTTACTGTGCAAAACATACTGTAAACAAGTTAGAGTGGTACTGCTCTCCCTGCAAGGAGCCGGTGTGTTCAAAATGTCTTATAGAATCCCATAATGGACATAAATTGGAAGAGCTTGAGAAAATGTACAAAGAGATCAGAATGAAATTCAAAAAAGAGAAAAAAGAAATAGAAAATACACTTTTACCAAAGTTTAGAGGATTGTTAAACAATGAAAAAACCAAGAAATTGGAAATATCAAAGAGAACAGAGGAAGTGCAAAAACAAATAAAAGATCACACAAAATCAATTATTCAGAAGGTCATAGTAATGGAAAATGAAACATTACAGTGTCTTTTACTAGAGAAAGAGAGGGTCATTGGAGCAGTCGAGAAAACAGAACTAGAAATTGAACATAGAATTAGTACATTAGAGACAATTAATGAAGGCATCACAGCCAATTTAGATGCAGACCCTGGAATTTCATTTTTTAGGAATACAGACTCATTCCTATCAAAAGGTATGCAAGTATTACCTTCCAGTGTTAATTACAAGCTAAACAACTTTCAACCTGTTGATACAAGTGAACTAACAACTGAGGGTCTATTTGGGAAATCACCAATTTTTTCAAGAGAATTGAGTTATGTTAATATGCAATGGGAAGGATGTGATAAAAAGAAAAAGAAAAAGAAGAATTAAGTGAAGTCAAAAGCAGATATCGCTTTACCTTTGGATGTAAATCAGAACTAGTTTTTAGCTCACCTGAGCCGAAGGCTCAAGTGAGCTTTTCTGATCACATTTTGTCCGTCGTCCGTCCGTCTGTCCGTCTGTCTGTCCGTCTGTAAACTTTTCACATTTTCGACTTCTTCTCAAAAACCACTGGGCCAATTTTCACCAAACTTGGTACAAAGCATCCTTGGGTAAAGGGAATTTTAAATTGTTAAAATGAAGGGACATATCTCCTCGCAAGGGGAGATAATCAAGAAAAGACAAAAATAGGGTGGGGTCATTAAAAAATCTTCTTCTCAAGAACCACTGGGCCAGTAAAGCTGAAACTTATGTGGAAGCATCCTGGGGTAGTGTACATTCTAAATTGTTCAAATCACGACCCCCAGGGGAAGGGCTGGGCCAGAATGGGGAATCAAAGTTTTATACAGAAATATATAGGAAAAATCTTTAAAAGTCTTCTTCTCAAGAACCACTAGGCCAGAAAAGCTGAAACTTTTATGGAAGCATTCTGGTATAGTGTAGATTCTAAATTGTTCAAATCATGACCCCCGGGGGAAGGGCTGGGCCACAATGGGGAATCAAAGTTTTACATAGAAATATATAGGAAAAATCTTTGAAAATCTTCTTCTCAAGAACCACTGGGCCAGAAAAGCTGAAACTTATGTGGAAGCATCCTGGTATAGTGTAGATTCTAAATTGTTCAAATAATGACCCCCAGGGGATGGGTGGGGCCAGAATGGGGAATCAAAGTTTTATATAGAAATATATAGGAAAAATCTTTGAAAGTATTCTTCTCAAGAACTACTGGGCCAGAAAAGCTGAAACTTATGTGGAAGCATCCTGGTATAATGTAGATTCTAAATTGTTCAAATAATGACACCCAGGGGAAGGGCCGGGCCACAATGGGGAATCAAAGTTTTATATAGAAATATATAGGAAAAATCTTTGAAAATCTTCTTCTCAAGAACCACTGGGCCAGAAAAGCTGAAACTTATGTGGAAGCATCCTGGTATAATGTAGATTCTAAATTGTTCAAATAATGACACCCAGGGGAAGGGCCGGGCCACAATGGGGAATCAAAATTTTATATAGAAATATATAGGAAAAATCTTTGAAAATTTTCTTCTCAAGAACCACTGGGCCAGAAAAAGTGAAGCTTATGTGGAAGCATTCTGGGGTAGTGTAAATTCTAAATTGTAGGAATTATGACCCCCCTGGGGAAGGGCGGGGCCATTATAGGGAATCAAAGTTTTACATAGAAATATATAGGAAAAATCTTTGAAAATCTTCTTCTCAGGAACCACTGGGCCAATAAAGCTGAAACATATGTACCCATGGAAGGATCATGGGGTAGTGTAGATTTCAAAATATCTAAATTATGATCAGTGAGGTAGGGTGGGGATGCATTATGTATAACAAGGGTGAAATCTGGTAAAGAACAGAATGGTCAAAGCTTCTCAGGTGAGCGATGTGGCCCATGGGCCTCTTGTTTTTCAAGTTTTTAAGAGAATCATTGTTTCAAAATAGATTTTTTTATTACGATACGCTGAAGAGTCATTTAATATTTGACAAAATCTTTAGTCGAAAATATTCATCGTCGCTATTCTTTACTTTCTATGTTTCAAATTAATATTATTCTCAAATTCAAAATACATGCATAAATATTTCAGTGTTCTTACTTTCTTGGTGTATCTTTCTCTCTTTCTCTCTCTCTCTCTCTCTCTCTCTCTCTCTCTCTCTCTCTCTCTTTCTCTCTCTCTCTTTACCCAGAAAATGTTCTTAAGATACTTGTTTACTCACGATGTTTTAAAACAACGGATCACTGTACTTAAAATGTTGTAAATTTAACAAGTTGTGAAAATGAATGGTTTTGTATTTTAATATTACATGTAAAACTTACATAAACAATAAATGTGTTTTCTTTTTTTATTCCACGATTAATATTTTAACTAATGAAGGATATGGAGATAACGAACAGTATTTAATTTCAAAGTATAAAAAATACAAAATAGGAGCAGAGCAAACACGGACTTCCGCCGACCGGTCTCATCCGCCGTACACTCCTTGTCCTTATTGGGATATAACGGAAAATTCGTCGTCAATTCAGTGTATAATCTGGAACTAACAATTAGTATGAAAAACATCAGTAAGCATTTGACTCAAGGATAAATTGTATTTGCTGACAAGGTCACCGTATCAACTGTTACGTAAAGATAACTTTATCAGAGACTGTTTATATTTTTGTTTCATCAAATTGTTTTTCAATAATTCACCTCGTTATTGAAATTGTTCTTATTTAGAGCATGCTCTTACATATCGAATCAACTTAGAAATATAAACTCCGTACGCAGGTGCATGATTAAGATATGTTGCTGCATACTTATTGTTAGTTCATTATTTATACACTGAATTGACGACAATTTTTCCCGTTATTTTCCGATCATAACAAGGAGCACACAACAGGTGTGACCGTTTTGCAGGTGTTTCTTACTTCTCCACCTGATACCAACTCAAATGGTTTGGGGTCCGTGTTTTCTCTGCTCATAATTTGTATTATCTAAAGGACTATTGATCTTAAATATTGTTCGTTATCCCAATATGTCTCATGATGTCATTTTAAATCTTAGTACATTAAAACTCGTGCATTATGAATACGCATATGCCGATTTCACGAATAAATCAAACTTATTAGGGATCTCCGGCAAAATTGTATTTTTTTTAAATATACTGTTAAAGCAAATCTAATGTAATAGATTTACGGATATAGGGAACTGATTTGAGTCCTTTACAGGAAAACAAAATTAAATTCACATCTTTTATACATGTGTATTTTGAAAAATTAATACATTAAAACGACTTTATTTTTGGTAAGTGTTTGTATTTAAAATTCGATTCCTAATAAAACTATATTTACCCAAGGAATGTTTCGTAACTACATGTGTTATTTTCCTTACATATTATGTGAAAAAAACTTGAAGGAAACCGTAATTTGCGAATTTACTTAATTTGTTATACAGATATAACGAATAACAGATATAGGAAATTTAAAAATCCACAGGTCCCCAGGACTTTGCTATAATCCAGTTTTACTGTATTTCTGTTCTCAAATATATTCATCTTTACCAAATTATATATATGCAATAAATCAGTAGATCATTTTCAGTTAAAGATTTTTTTAAAAAAACGTACATTTTAAGAGATGAACAACAATGAAGTTGAGGAAAACCAATTAGAGTCCTGTTTCTGATAGTTTTTTTTAATGTGAGAAGCTAACAGGCAGTGTTAGGTTGGCAAAAACGAAGTAGTGGGCGATCCCTTGACAGTTTCTCTGGTTTGCTTTGCTTGTTTTTTTTCCTTTAAAAGGAATTGAACGTTTCACAAAGTAAACCTTCAAATATAAAATTTGCACAATTTAAAGTAAATATATTCCATAACAAACATATATTATAACTAGAGCAAAGCTCGTTGCAAAGCAACGAGTAGGTCTTCCATCCTGTTTGACCGGAAGTACAATTAAAAAATAAGCCATTTTTGCTACTTCCGGTTTGGCCGGAAGTGATGACGACGGACAGAAAATTGAATTTTATGCTCTTAGGCACAGCTGTTACCCAAAAACTTGTCAAGAACGGCAAAAATACGCATTTTCTGACTACTTCCGGTTTGACCGGAAGTGACGTCACCAGACATATTTTGACGACGCCACTTGATTCAGTTTGACATTTTGAACAACTTTGCTATTTTAACATATTACAAATACTTAAAACTTTTTGAAATATTAAGGAAAAAGTTGCGGCTCTTCTCGGCCCTTATTATAGTTATTAGCCAGCCCTTTTTTGAGATATCATTTGAAAGATAATGTGATTCTACACTCCTTTTGTTTGATATGTTTTAGCAAAATATTTCTAGTAAAAAGTTATCGATAAAAAGTGTCAATTTTTTTGAAATTCTTGATAGGACTATTTTCGGACCATAGCGTGCATCGGCGCTTCGTACTTCCTATGACAGTGAGATATTCAATTCACTTCTCCAAGGGTTGCTCTATCATCACTGAAAATTTTGTACTTCTATCTTCAACGGTTTTTGAGAACATTGCCGGACAAAATCTCTAAAATCTCCGATCTGGAAGTGACGTCATCAAAATTTTAAAAAAATAGATATAGATTTTTTGATGTCCTATCGGACCTGAAAGTTTCATGAAAATCCACTGAGCCGTTTCCAAGAACTCGCGTGCACAAATTCGGTAAAAATAATAATAAGAAGAAAAATAGTGGAAAAGAAACCTAAGAAAAACAATAATGTCTTCCGCTGAAAACGGAAGACCTTAATACGTTTATTCCTTAAATAACTCAATCTGCATGACTTTTTATCTAAAACATAATTTTAGATCATTGCTCCATGTTTGGATCTTAGACAAGCAAAATATATGATTATGAAATCGGAACAAAAATGTGCAAAATTTTTTACTTGTGCTACAAAAAATAGAAAGGACCTCAACGATCATGACTTGCGAAAAAAGTCGGAAGTTATGCTATTGTCTGAAAAAGACAGAACTGACCCACTTATTTTTTTCCTTTCTATTATTCTCAACTTCAATGAAATCTTATCATCATGCAAATGCATATACTTAAAACAGAGTGATAACATTAATAGAGAAAGCAATCTAATAGAGTAAGCAATCTATTTTTGTGCGGGACATGGGATATCTTAAGAATATGGTGTTCAGATAGGGCGTTTAAACACAAAACATCACCAGTGATTTCAGAAACAACGGGCTTTATGCGCTTGCAAACACTAAGTGTCGAGTGAACGCAACTTCTTACAACATTAAATCACACCTACAGGCATAATGCAATAATTTAAAAATATTATAAAGCAACAGCACTGTAGAATAATACATGCTTTTATGCAAGTAATTTATTGAAGTTATGTTTTAACACTTTATATTGTTAGAAAAAATGAAGGAAATTCAT